CCACGTCCGTGGCCGTGGCTCTGTTGCGTGTCTTCCCACCCTGGGACCCCGCCGAAGAAGCCGTCCTTGCGTTGGATTTGTCCAGTTTCTTGGCATGAATGAGCGAGAGGCTAGATTGAAACTCACAGTCCTGTCTGAAGCTTCTACTCTGCTGTGGTGATGTCTTGTTTGCTCACATTACCTCGGCCAAATCCAGTGTCTTGAATAAGGTCAGTCAGCGCAGGAGGCTGGGTGTGTACTTTCGCAATTCAGAGGCGGGCAGCTCAGGTGGTGTGGATCAGGGTGTAGCCCTTCCCGCAGTGAAAGGGGGGCTTGAGTAGTTACAGAAGAGTCTGCAGCGCGAGCAGCTAACGGCTCCTCAGGACACGAGGGCCGAGCGAGGCCAGGAGGTCTTCCGGGGCTCCCGAGAGGACGGGCAGCCCCGGGGAGGTGCGCGTGGATGGAGTTAGTTGGTCGTGGGCCTGAAGCTGAGGCGGAGACGGTGAGTTCATTCTTCCGCTGGCCAGCGCGGTTGTGTTGCTGGTTCTCCAGTCCCCTGAGGAGCTGGACACATGGCTTGGGTTCTGCGTGAGTGTGCTGGGAGGACGGGCTGAAAAGGCGTGTGACAGGTGAGTGTGAACACGTGAGCCTTACAGTCTGGTGCGTGGGAACTTCGCGCACGCGTGTTGCTTGTTTTAGGACAGATGTTAATGTGTGCATTGTTTCAATTGCGGCGTGGGCCCTTGGCGGTGGGTGGGTTTAGGTTGCTCCTTGGCCCTCGTCTCTGAAAGGCTGCCCGTCACTGCCTAGTCCAGTAGGGAGGGAAGTCGTACCGCAGGGAGCGGTGCTTCTGCGGCGGGAGTAACTGTCACGTGCTGCGGAGGGTCCGTAGACGAGGGGCTGTCTTAGTGGGGACTGGATGTTAGGACTGGAGTTTCCGCTAATGGCAGAGTCCGGGCTTTGCTGCTTGTAACTGACGGGAAGAGGAAATGCAAGGTGCCTAAGGCGAAGAGCTGCGGGATCCGGGTGGGTGAGGCCTCCTGGGTGGCGGTGTCCAGGATGGGCTCGGCTGTGCGCCACACTCTCCATTTTATCACCCCCGCTTGACGGTTCGGTCCGCGTCCTTGGTGTGTGGGGCCCCCGGGAGCTGGCTGATGGAGTTACTGAGTGGGTGCACGGAGGGAAGGAGACCTGGGCGGTGAGGGTGCGGTGAGCGGCCTCCGTCGGGGGGCCCAGTGGGTCGAAGACGGAGCCGAGCAGTAAGAGGCCGTTGTGGGAGCTCGCTGGGCGCGTGAACCCGCGTCCTGTCAGGAGACTCCCCCGGGAGGGCGGGCTCCTCGCAGGAGGCTGGGCTCCACAGGGTGAAGGAAGGAGTGCGGCGCACACGCCGAGCCCAGCAGGCAGGGCCTGGACATGGGCACGGCGCTCCGCTGCGCTTTGTCTGAGTCCTGGGCACGGAGAGCAGCAGCCTGTCCCCGGGACACGATACCTGACGTCGCAGCTCGCGTCAGGACCAGCTTATTGCGGCTCACATTTCGGGGTGTAGTTCACTGGCCCCAGTGCAGGGTGGCGCTGGACGAGCGCCTGGGGTGAAGGGAGGGGCAGCAAAGGGAGACCACGTCCCGGCAACCCTCTCTCTGACCAGCAGTGGGCGCTATAACCCAGGCACCTTGCCCCCGCTTTTGTGAGCTTAAGAGGCTCCTGGGGCCGACTAGATACAAATCATCGCACATCCTGTCTTTTGATAAAGTGTCAGAGGATCTATGACCATCCTTAGTCCATTATGTTTAGCACCTGATCTGACACTGGCAAAGTTCCGGGCTTATGGTGTGGACCAAAGCTTCATAGGAATTTTTTTCCCCCGTGCTGGGGATTGAACCCAAAGCCTTCATACTGAGCTACATCCCCAGCCTTTTTTTATTTTGAGACAGTGTTTCTCAGTCACAAAGTTGCCAAGGCTGGCCTTAAACGTGGGATCCGGAGTGCTGGAATTACAGGCATCCACCACCACACCTGGCCCATACTCATTATGAAGTTGTTCGGTATATTGATTGTTTTGGACAGGGTCTCACTATGTAGCCCAGGCTGGTCCTGAACTTATTACGATCTTCCTGCTTCAGCCTCGCGAGTGCTGGGATTACAGGTGTGTGCCACCATGCCTGGCCTACCTTTTTTTCTTTGTTTTGAATTATAAGCAGTTTCAGTAGCTTCTGCATGTTAGCATCGGGCATATGAATTCCTTCTAGTCAAATGTTTGTGTTGGGCAGGCAGTTTAAAATGTTGGGCTTCAAAATGTTATCAATGGGTTATTTGTTAGGCTTTAAAATTGTATAAATTGTACATGTATTTATTGAAGCATTTGTGTTTTTTAGTTTTATATTTCATTAGTGCCTGTTTGCAGTACATCACGTCTGTCTGTCCTGCGGGAGGCTGGCACATGTGCACAGCACATCTTTATTCTTTCACCTCTCCCTCCCCTCCCTCTCTTCCCCCTTCCCACTCCCTCCCCTCACTGTCCCTTGCCCACCCTCCCTTGAGCCCCCTCCATTTGACAAACGTCTGTATCCCTACTTACATTTTTAATTTCTTCCATAAGACAAGCCATCTACTACCAAGTGTGTAAATTATTTCACTGTACATTGTGGTCTCAAGGTATAGCCATTTTCTTAAATAAATTCCAGTTACTTTTTATCACAGAATACTACTTCATTGGCTGTGAACAGCATATTTTTTTTTAATCATTTAACTTGATGGACTGATTGAAGCTTTTGTGAAAATGATTATTGGTAGTGCTAGGGATGAAACATAGCCTTTGTATGTTCCTTGTGGCCTTGAGTTTGTATGTTAGGCCAGTGAGTATCAATGTTTGTTTGTTTTTTGAATACTGGGACTTGAACCCTGGACCTTTACACTGAGCTGAATCCTCAGACTTTATTTTCCATTTTGAGATAGGTAAGTCTCTAAATAACCTAGGCTTGGGCTTGAACTTGTATTCCTCCTACCTCAGGCTCCAAAGTGCTGGGATAACAGCCCTGGGCCAGAACACCCCGTGGTATCAATGCTTTTGACTAAAAACTCTGCTTTGATTTTTTTTTTTTTTTTTCATTTTTTTTTGAGACAGGATCTCATTATATAGTCTAGGTGCTCAAGTTCAAGATCCTCCTGCCTCAGCCTCTCACATGCTGGAATGACTGACATGCACCACCATGCCCAACTTGAGTTGACTTTTGATATCCCTTGATACATAGTGTTTCTCATCCAGGTCTGACTGTAAGTCTTGTGTCATGGGTTAAAAATTCAGCTTCTTGGGCCACTTTCATGGAGATGCTTGATTAACTAGGTCTGCAATAGGATCCTTTATTTGTATTTCTGAGAAGTGAGCCTAGGAGAGGTAGGTGTCGGAAACAACACATAACTGAGCTGTTTTGTAACAAAGTGACACGTGAGGCAATACATGGCATTGCTGCAGATAAATAATTTCAGGTAGTTTCTATAGAAAAATTGCATTTCCATGTCCCAGAGTAGGAAGAGATTGACAGAGGGCAGGAAGCAATTAGTTCAGTTGTAATTTTCCTGGAACAGAGGTGCCTGCTAGTACTGACTGTAAATCAGTTGTGGACTTGTTGAAATAACACTGAGGTAATGTCTGCATCTGGAAGATGGAGATAGTGTCTACCCTGACGTGCTCATTGTGAAGCGTAAGTGGGTCTGAGTGGACTTGAATTCTAAAGAACTGTGTTAAGTTCTAATTGTTCTCTGTAGCACTCAGTTTGACCTCCTAGTATGAAATGTAAGATGTAGATATGCATAACCATGCCTAGGACTGTCCAGACTGATCAGTGAAAACTTTTACTGATATGTACATTTTCTTTTCCAGCTTTCTCAGCCTTTTAAGTTAAGGTGAACAACTGTGTGCTGTGCTAGGAAATGATACCCTTCAAAGGAAAACCGTGTTACAATGCAGCTTTTTTTCCTGTTAATTTTTAAGCTCCAACTTTGTAGTTCTTTATGCAATAATACACAGAATTAGTAGCATTTTAAAAACTGCCAGAGTCAGGCCTTGTTCCCAGAGATTCTGATTAATAAGTCCTGCGTGGGGTGCTTAGTGATTTTTATTCTGCCTCCAGGGCTGAGAACCCAGCTTAGACTGTTGACAGTTGGGAGAGGTGTGATCACAGATGTTTGCAAACCGGAAATGTCATAGACCTTTTGATTTAAGAACAGTAACTAACAGTTGATTCATAGTGAGGGAAAACAAAGCTGGGTGGTAAGGAGACATTGAGTGCGCTGGGGCGGTGACTCCGGACTTCACACCGTCTGGCACACCCAGGCCCCTCTGTGGTAAATTGTAGATTGTTGCTTTGAAAAGGAATAACAATGAAGAACACCTTTCCATACTCCGAGGGTTTTTTTTTTTCTCTTAGCTACAACCGGATCTCAAGAAGACCCTATTTGACCTTTCTCTTCTGGCTTGTATAACGCAGTGAAACTGAGATACTAGAGAAATGAGCTGAGGCGTGGATGTCATTTCTTATTTTTTTAATTTAAAACACCACACAAATAACTTGGGTTGAGGATTAATATAAAAATATGTAGAGATCTTTTTTCCCATTCCACCAACATTTTTTTTTTTTCGGTACCAGGAATCGAACTCATGACATTGCGCTTGCCAAGCAGGCGCTGTGCCGCTGAGCTAAATCCCCAGCCCTCCACCAGCATTTGTGATATTTTTATTTTGTTTCAGGATAAGCAAACTTTTTTTTTTTTTGATGAAATGGATTTTGTTCTAGGGTAATATGCTTCGTTCATGAAGAAAAATTTAAACTGTGCTCTGTCTGCCGTCTGAGGAAGAGATACTAATACATCCAGGGAGATGCTGACTAGAGCATTGTTTTCCAGTTGTAGTATATGGTAATCTAAAGGTTTTAAAGTTTTATTTAAATAGTGGTGCCCGAAGTAAAGGAGAAATGAATTTTCTAAAAAAAAAAAAAAAAAAAACCTTCAAGTTACCAGTAGCAACCTGGATTTACAGTTTCCTGTCTGTAAAACAACAGTAAGTTGTTAGTGAATTTCAACTGAAGCACTCACACGACACTCTCATTTCTGTCTCACCCGTCAGGTGTAAAGCGTCCACTCTGTGTTACTGGAATCCCTATTGGATGCTGCCCTCTGATGTTTGTGGAGTGAACTGCTTTTGGGAAGCTGCACTTAGGTAGGCACGTAGTCTGTAATGTGTAAGTAGTAGATCAGTGTAGGTAAGATTAGTAATAGAAGCTTTGACTGTAACAGGATATAAACATGTTTCTTTTTCTGTAATTTAATGCTGTCACACAAGTAATGCATTTTCCAATTGGGTTTTCTGTTTCTTTTCCATGTTGTAGTTATCACTAATTTTTAGTGCTTTCTGCATGTAAATAGTTTAAAGTATTTTTAGGTGTTATTAAGATAAACTGTTTTTAGGGGATTTGTGATCTAACTTATGATACATATATTCGTTATCTGATTTAAAGCTGGTGTACCGAAGAAACATTTTGTTGGTGGATGGGACAGTGTGGAAGTGTTCTATTAGACAGAATATTGGAATGGAAGGGTTAAAATATGTATTTATCTTTACAGATTTTAAAGGAGCAAATGATGTGACATTATTTTTTGGTTACTACATTGTTTGCTTTGCTGCTTCTGGGTGAATAAGGCACTGGACCGGCTGACCTTTCAGGTTCCTTCCTGCTCTGATACTTAGTAAGAAATGCGTTGTCGGAGTGAGATCAGGCAGTGGCTCCCAGACTGTCTTGCTGAGACGGCGGCAGGGGAGGGTGTGGCCAGTCAGTAGCCTGAAGTGCCCTTTCCAAAAGTAAACTGCTGGGGGAGTCATCCTCTTGATGATTCCTTTAGATTCTGATTCTGTTCATTCTGCTTGTCTATGCAGAGTGCTAAGGGTCAGATCCTGAGTCAAGCTAATGTGGTTCCCTCCTTAGCGAGCGCCTGTGGCAGTGAGTGCAGTGGTTAACCTGAGATTATAATAGAAGCTGAGAAGTTGCACCTGTGAGGAGTCCTGGCCTCAGGGAAGGCTTGCGAATGCAGGGAGCAAGCAGTCCAGGCACGGGAAGTTAGCCAGGTTCAAGGTGGTCGTTGAGGGTTCCAGGTAGGAAGAATTGCAATTAAAAAACTTCTGTTTAAACTGACTGATGATTGTATTCGTAGGGTACAGTGTGAAGTTCGGCGTATGTGTGTGTGTGGAATGATTGTATCACATTTCTACCACCTCGCATATTTACCTTTGTTGGTAGTGAGAACGTGTAAGACCTTTTCCCTTAGCAATTTCGAAATAAACATTATTTTTAGCTGTGGTCACTTTGCCGTGCCATAACCTCGAGAGCACATTCCTTCCATCTGGAGCTCTGTGCCCTTTTGTCTGCGCCACCTACGTCCCTGCGGTAACCACTGTCCCACCGTTCTGCTCTCCAAGAGCTACATTCTTGTAGCCCAGGCTGGCCTTGAACCACAGCAGCCCTCCTACCTTGGCCTCCCAAGTGCATACAGGCCTGCACCAGTATGCCTGGCTCTAAGAACTGCATTCTTCATATCTGTGTATGATATGTGTATTTAAATTTTTGCATTCTTGCTACATTATTCATCTCAGGGGCTGGGGATTTAGCTCAACAGCACAGTGCCTGCCTGGCAAGTGCAAAGTTGTGAGTTCGATTCCCGGTACCGGAAAAAAAAAACCAAAAAAAAAAAAACCCAAAATACATTATTCATCTCATGAGCAAATGACAGGGGATAATTAAATTAGATATTTTAAATTATACCCTATTGCTGTGGAAAAGAATTGGGGTTGAAGTATTACTATGGACCATTCCAGCTAAGATTATACCAAGTTTTAAAAAACTTTTAAAGATGTAAAATGAGCGAGGAATGATATATATATATATATATATATATACCAATTCCCGAAAACAAATGTTAGCTCTGATGTGTCACAAACATATACTTTAGAACAAAACACAAATCAAGATCTGAACAAATGAAAACACATACCATGCTATAGGATGGGGAAATAATGACGTCAAGGTGACAGTTACCCTTTAACACAGTACAAATTTCATGCACTTAAAGGAAATTTGGTCCATTTGTGAAAAAAGGCAAGATAATCTTAGCTTTCAGTTTGCTTATAATTTTGGAAAATGTGAGCTCCATGGTTTTCATTCTTACAGAAGTTTGCTGACGGATACTGTTGACAGGCACCCTCGTGCCTTGCCCCATAAATGGAACGGGGTGAACTTGCAAACTTCCGTATGGTCTGATTTGTTTACTCTGTATGGAAACCAGACCTTTTGGCAAATTACAGCATGAATAATCATAATCTGCCTCCTGTACTTCAAGACGACTCCAGGGAGCCAGGCGCAGTGGCGCACACCTGTATTCCCAGCACTCTGAGAGGCTGAGGCAATGGATCATGAGTTCAAGCCCAGCCTGGACAAGTTAGTGACTTAGCGAGGCCCTGTGTCAACATAAAGAATAAGAGAGGGCTGGGTGTGCGTCTCAGCGTGAAGGCTTTGGGTTCAGTCCCGAGCACTGAAAGGAGGAGAGGGATAATTCCCACTCCTGCCTACTATTCCTGATGTCACGTTATGCCTCGCAGGAGGGGCCCCGTCTAACTTCCCCAATTTGAATTCCTTATGTAATTTGAGTAGGTCTTAAGGGGGGGGTATTTCCCCCCAATTTATTTATTATGCAGTGAACGTAATATAAAACAAAATGGCCTCCCCTCCCATCATTTGTATGCTTTGTTGGATAGGATTTCTGAGTGTAAAAGTTTGACACTTCTGTGAAGGGACAGCGTCAATGACCGCGTGCTGTTCCCGAGTGTCAGAAGCCCTTTGTGTGGAGAGTATTTTCCCCTCCTTGTTAGAACTTAAATGATTTGTATCTGCATTTGCTGAGTCTTCTATTTGCTGTCTTCTCTTCGGAGTATTTTGCCCTTAAAACCAAGGCAAACACGAACTCCCACAAGCACTTGCTTCCAACTCTTTCGTAAGTGTCACCTGTTTACTCTCTTTCTCTTCACCAGGAAGCTGAGTACAGCAGTACTCACCTCGTTGTTCACGTGCCACACATAGGCATAGACAGAGTTCAAGTACTTGTTGAAAAGAATGAGTTATATCGCTGAATTGTTTTCTAGGAATTACGCAAATGTGGATTTAAGCCTGTGTCAGCATTCTGGGGTCGCCATAACCTTTGTCATTATTGGCAGCTGTCATTTTACCACTTAGTAGGGTAAAATGATAGATCAGTATTGATTTATTTCGTTGAATTGCTGTTTCCTACTGAATTTTAAATGCTTATTTTGTGAACTCGTAGAACAGTATGCTCCATTTTTACCATTGATAGTTTCCTGATTTCTTTCTTTTTAGTTTTTATTATGCAAACTCTTCAATTTAATATTGTTATAAAATTTTTTTTTAATATATCAGTTTCTTCTATGACTTGAACTTTAAAAAAATAGTTCTTTAAAATATTTAAGTTTTCCTCTTGGTGGTAGGAATTGATTTGGGGGTTGATGGATACTGTGGTCATAGGTGAATTGAATGTTATTTAATATTAGCAGTATTGTTTTCCATGGTCTTATACCAGTTTTGAGAGATATATTTTTATGGATTATTTTAATTTATACCATATAGTTAATATTTATATTTCATGTTGCATTTTTAGATTTTTGGTGTATGCTTTTGCATAAAATCTTAACGGTTTCGTAAGTATTTCAAAAGTGATGTATGTTCAACTCATCAAAGTAGCTAGTATACTTTCGACACTGTGTTTTTCAAAGATTCATTTGGGTCTCTAACAGATATTGTGACAATGCTGTGATCAACAGCAGGGTTTAGAAGTGGTTTTCATGAACAAAATCCCAGTTTTCTTTCTTTTTTTTATTTATATTAGCCAAGGAATACAACTCTTTACACTGAGAGAAGAAACATTTTTTTTAAAGTCGTATATTAAGGAAATTATTGTGTTGTAAAACATAGCTTTCCAGTTTGTTTAACTACAAAGTTTTCATTCCTGGAGCCAAATGTGGTGACGCACATGTATAATCCCAGCCGAGGCGGGAGGCTCACAGGTGAGGTAAATCAGGAAAAAGTCCTTAGAGAATGCCCTTATGACAAACTCTAATGCTGGTACTATTAATGCGTTTGTGAACCACGGAATGTCCTCCTCATTTTAAGTACATTTCTGCTATATAAGAATTAAGAGACAATTTGATTGAGCGCAGCCTGGGAAATTTAGTAATTTAAGAAGACCCTGCCCCAAAAAGTGAGAAAGGGCTGGGGATGTAGCTCAGTGCAGAAGCCCTAAGTTCACTCACCGTGGGGAGTGGCTCAGGAAGGGGGGTACATTCGTGGTAGTTATTGTTTGTTGGTGAGATTGTTATTAGAAATTTAATTCTGTGTAGTCTGACTTTATATATTCATCAAAATGCTGTTCTAAATGTTATGTATTATCTTTATGGAGTCTAATTTAATAATAGGCTAGAAGGACAGAATGGAATATATTTATGTTGTTTAAAAAAAGCCAACAGGAGCCAGGTGTGTGGAGCATGCTGAGGATTGCTGTGAGTGTGAGGCCGGCTTGAGGTACACAGTGAGACCCTGCCTCACTAACTCTTATATAGCAGAAATGTACCTAACATGAGGAGGACATTCCGTGGTTCACAAATGCATTAATAGTATTAGAGTTTGTTATTACAACATTCTTTAAGGACTTTTTTCCTGATTTACCTTGCTCAGCTCTTTACTTTGTCAAGGCTGCCATCTGCAAAGGTTCAATACACGATATACACTCTCCTAAGACTGTACCTGCTAGTAACGTTTTGACACATTTTTTTGTGCTAAATCATTTAATAAACAGCTGCAGCCACAATATACCCCTAAATACAGGTATTTAGCATGTATCTCCTAAGAATGGGGACATTTTCTAGTGCGACTGTCCTCCAGTTATTTAAACTGATAGATTGTAGATTCCTATTTATTTTTTCTTATTTTCCTGTTGAGTCCTTCAAGTGTTTTCCTTACTGAAGGGTAACGCTGCATTTAATTGTTGGAGCTAGGCTGGCCTCCTTTGTTCTTTCAGTGGGAGAAGGGTGGTGCTACTGTCTTTTGTGACATACTTTTTTTTTCTTCAGCAGAATGCCCTAATTTGAATTTGCCTATCTCTTAATGATTAGATTCAGAATTTTGGTGGGTTTGCAGTATAGGAGATCTGTTCTTTGGTCATTCTGTCAGGACTCTGCTGATGTCATGCTAACATTATTGTTTATCGCAAGTCACGTTCTCCTAGTTCTACACTGCAGGGCCCCTGGCAGGAGGGCCTCCGGCGCATGGGGAGCCATGTGGCGGCGAGCACTGTTGTGCGCCGGCCCTTAGGCCGGCTGCCGCCACTCAATTGAGATCTATCATGACACAGAGAAATAATGACACAATTGGCCCACCATGCACCGACTGCAGATGCCCACCCTGGGACGTGTGTGAATCATTCAAACTTTAAACAACCCCTGGGAATACACGCCATACAATGGGCCACTCTTGCTCCTGCCATTGAGAACCAGAAAGGTCCAGAGCCAGCGGAGGAGCAGCTGCTGAACAAGGACTCAGAGAACATGAGAATGCAGACTAAGCCCACGGAGTCAGAGGTCCTGTGGCCTGGGGTCACGAGAGCGGCTTGGAAGCTGTAAACCAGGAGGACCTTGCACAATACCTGCAGAGACTCCCTGGAAGCCATTCTTCCCCTGACAGTACAGGCTGTGGTGGAGCTCTGGAGAAGTCTGGAGCAGGATTCCTGCTGCCTGTGCTGACAGTTGGGGAGAGGACACTAACTGGTTATGGGTCCCAATGCGATGGGAGGCTGGAGAGAAAATGCTAAAAAAAATGGCTTTCGCCCCAGACGGCTCACTTGTTTTTTGACAACTCTTAGGCTGTAACTACTTGTTAGATCCTTCTTGTGTATCTCTGTCTTCCTGAGAAACCACTTTGAAGATACCACCATGTATTACAGCAGTCATTGATATTTTCCTACTAATCTGTCCATAACTCTGTAATGTTTGTATTGTTCCTATCCTATTTCATAAATGGATCCATGTTTATTATTGTGTGTTTCCTACAACAACCATTGAGAATTATTGAATGATTATTCAGTAGGTCACTCATGTATAGTTCTATTTATATTCTTTAGAAGCCACTTTGAAGATACCTGAGTATAGTACAACAACTATTGATAATCTCCTACCTCTTTTGTCTGTAACTCACTATCATTTGTCTCTTTGTTTTCCTGAGAAACTATCTTGTAGATAACAATATGTAAAACAATAACCATTGATAATTTCCTACCACTTTGTCTGTAATTTGGTAAGCCCCCCTCTATTATTATGTTATCCTTCTTTTACTCTTTACAAAAAAAAGACAAGTTCTCTCCCTTTACTCCTTTACCTACTAGTATTTTAGACTCACATTCATTTTTTTAATCTAGTATGTGGCTCATTACTGTCACACTTTTCATGCTCAGGTTATGTGACATTTAACCATGGGAGCCTTCTGCTAATGTTTTGAATTATCTGAAAGATTTCTTCTCCTCTTACAGAAAAACAAGTTTGACTTTAAACTGTCCTTTTGGATAACATTTCGTTCAGTCCATGGGGATGTTAGTTCATACTGTGATTAAAATATAGCACAGTTTTGCAGTCCCTGACAAGGTCACACCGTTCAGTTGGGGCTGAAATTATCTGAATGATTGAATCCCCGTGACTGTTGAGAAGGTTTTAGTTGTTGATTCCTGAGTGCAGAAGCTGACTTTGGATTTCTTTGAGTTGCAATTGATTTTCCTGTCCTTGGGGTTGAGAGGCAAGGGTGGTAGCCGCAGACACCTTCGAAGTGTGTTTGCTTTTGTCAGTGTAAGTGTTGGAGTCTGTACCAAGTTCAGTGCTTTTATTGGAAAGGGACACTGAAGAGAAGAGGAAGTTGAACGTGGCTGACAGCGCTCCTGTAGGAAGTGGTAAGAAGAACTCGGCTGTGTGACTGAAGCGACTCTTGCTGACGTGCCTGGGAGGAGTCCCCAGAATGATTTTAGAACGATTTATTTTCCCCTTGAGGAACATTTTGCTTTTTCTCTTCAGTTTTGTTATACCCTGATCTCTGCAGATAGAGAGTTCTATGGAAAGCAACCTATGAGTGGTACAGTTTATTTTTAAAATTTTTTTTTGGCTTTTGATGTTGGTGTAGGATCTTGTTATAGGCCAGGTAAGCAGTCTGAGCCTATGAGATTCTCAAGCCATGATGTTTTAATGAAGGCGTTTTTACCACCGTGGGAAGCGCGAGTTGAAGGCCATGACCGGGAAGGGAGCTAGCACGGTTTCCTCGCGCCAAGGCGGGGTCTCGATCGCCTGTTCCTTAACTCGTGTCACGGTGGTGGCGATGAGCTGGAGTCACCCCGCCCCCCCCAGGCAGAGGTAGAAAAGCGTCGGCTCCCTCTGCGGGTCATCGTTCCTGTTTGGGCAGTGAAGGGCTGAGGAAGGGGGGGCAGCTGAGCGCAGCGGGGCCTCTCGGGGCGCCTTGAGTGGAGCAGGGGCGACGGGGAAGACCCAGCCGCACTTGGCGGCGGCTGCCCCGGGTGGGCAGAGTCCTGGCGCCCAGCCCCCCGCTGGGCCTTGGGAGATTTCCTTCCAAGAAGACGCGGCAGTGCTCGCTCGTATGTTCTCGGTCTTGTTTGTAAATGTTTATATCTTGCTGGATATTTAGTGGAAGGAACGGAATGTGTGTCACTGAAAAAAACTATGTGAAGCAGATTTGTTGTCAATCGGCATGGTTTAAGGCCAGAGTTTATTGAGGCATTTATGGATGAAGTGATGACTGATTTGCATCAGAGTGACCTGTCGTGGGTGGAGGTGTGGGCAGGGGCTTTAGCTGACCTAAGAATATGTTAAAATTCTTTTTTAAAAAAACATTGAGTGGAAGACTTTCAAGTCAGTGAGACTTCGTTTCTCAAGAGGTTTCCTGGGAAAGCTCTCCTGCCCCAGGGCGTCTGGTAGGAGTCGAGGATCCGCCCCTCGGATGTTGCTGCTCTTGGTGCTCTTGGGAGAGCTGAGAACGTGCTCCCTGTTTGCGGCAGTGTCGCAGTGAGGAAGGCCGAGGAAGGCTGGTTGAGGGCGCGGAAATGCAGGACCGAGTCAGCACAGTGTTTTGTCATTGGTGTGCCTTCGCTTCTTAAAGGGGAGTTTTCAACGTCTGTTTTTCAGCATTGCGTAGAGGTGTGCTCAAGCTGTTGGAAAACGTGTTTTCTCTTCTCGTAGGTATAGCCTGAAAGCACAGCCTGAGGAGAAAATGCACCTCGCCGTGGTCGCCTGTGGTGAAAGACTGGAAGAGACCATGACCATGTTGAAGTCAGCCCTCATTTTCAGCATCAAACCTCTTCAGTTCCATATATTTGCTGAAGATCAGCTGCAGGATAGCTTCAAAGCGCGAGTGAGTAGTTACGGAGCCGTGGCTGCGGGTGGGGAGTGGCGTGTTCAAGCGTGACTTAAGAGAATGCTTGGTACTGCATTGGTGCAGAAATGCGCATTTGGGAACTCTGGTCTCCTGACATTTCCGTCTTGAGTCGACATCTAGAATGCAAGAGTAAGATCTGCTTTTTAATAGTAACAAGCGATTGAGAAGTCCTTCCCCAAACGCAAACATTTTATTTTACTGACTGCTGTTCCAGGATGTTTTGATTGAGCAGTAATAAAGATGAACGTTTCTTTCTCACGCAAAGGTACACAGTGAGTTACACGGCAGATCTTCATCCTTGTGGACTGTTTCTGATTATGGCTGAGCTATTTCTTCCTTTCTCCTTCCTTTCATCCTCCTCCTGTCCATCCCTCCACCCCTCCCCTTTCTTGCCTTGTTTCCCCTTCTTTCCCTCCCTCCCCTCCTCCTGCTTTATACTAGGAATTAAACCCAGGGCCTAGTGCATGCTGGAAAACTGCTTTTCTACTGAGCTGCATCCCCAGCACCGCTGAGCCCATTTTCAACATGAGGCTTCAATCTCATGGTCCAGGATAGCTGCTCGTGATCCTGCCATTACATCCATGTTCAGTCTACCTGAGAGAAGGGCAGCCCCTTCTTCTGTTCAAGGAAACTCCCACAAGGAGTTGTGACCTTTCTGCCAGTACTCCATTGGCCTCCATTTAGCCATATGACCATACCTAGCTGTTAGTGAGGATGGAGATACACTTTGTAACCAGGGTCGCTTTGTAACCTCCTTAACAATGAAAGAGTTTCCGTGCAAGAACTGGAGATGAAAGACAGAAGAGAACACGTAAGAATTCTGCGTGAGACCTCACCACCTCGTGTTCTGACTTGATAGAAAGGGTGACGCTGCTGATGTTTTCCCCTGCCACTAAATGGAGTATTTAAGCTGGTCTGGGTTTTCTACTTGGCCTGAGTTTTTAAAGTTGTTTTTTTTTTTTTTTTTTTTTAAGTTCACTTTGGATGTTAAGGGAAAAATACAACTTACGATCTCAGTTCTGGCAAATCTTTTGATTCACTAGAAAGGTTTATTTACACCTTAAAAATATTTCTAGTTTATATATTTTTGACACATATTTTTTGAATCTTGATCTCTTTACTTAGATTTTTATAAAATCATAACGGAATAAATTTTATCCTAGAGATTGAACGAATAATAATAGGCTGCTATGTATTGGGAAAGCCTTTAAAAATTAATAAAAAATAAAACATTTATTGTTTCATCTTAGGTACAACTTTTGTACTATAGTTTTCCATTTAGAGCCTCTTTGACTTTATTTATGTATTTATTTTTTGAGACAAGTGTTGCTATACAATTCAGGCTGGCCTTCAGCTCACTTTGTAGCCCAGGCTGGTCTCGAACTTGCAGCAGTCCTCCTGCCTCAGCCTTCTGAGGGATGAGATTACAGGCATGAGCCACCACACCTGGCTTTCACTTTAATAATAACAAAATTGGCCTATGCTTTTGATGAGTGAATATCAAATATTTAGTGGAACATGCTTACAATACTAAAAAGTAACTAAGATGACAAATGCCAAATATTTCATTTTGAGTTGGTATTAAAATGATATTTAAGTGATTTATAAGTCAAGGAGAAAGATCAAAGTGCTAGCTAGTCTTTGAAAACAATAGAGACAGTAAAGCAGAGTGCTGGAGAAAAGGTTCTCCCTTCTGTGTGGTAGGTAAACTCAGAGAGATCTTCTTCACCTTATACGTAAATTAGGTTTTTCCCTTCTCTGTAGGTTGTTTCTGAATGCTTTTCAGGTCATTTGAATCAGCAGTTCTAAGTGAGAACCTGGTGGCACGTGCCTGGGTCATGGCTGTTGGGGAGGATGAGGCAGGAGGATCATTTGAGCCCAGGAGTTCAAGGCCAGCCTGGGCAACACAGTGAGACAGTGTCTCCAAAAAAATAAAAAATCGATAGAAGCAACAGTGACATGTAATACTTAACTGAGTTTGAAATAATTCAGTATCTTCTTATACATTCAGGATAGTGAAGATTGTCATAGATTTTGGATATATTTTGCTTTTTGTAATGATTTTTTAAAAATTGGCATCAGATATGTATTATTCTGAGTATTTTAATATCAGAATTAGCAATGCATATTAAAATTAGTTTGACTTTGAATGTCAACATTTTTATTATATTACATACTATGGTAATAAAATTTGTGCTTGATTTTTCTCCTTTTAATGTATGTAGAAATGGAGAGAATTTACATAGGTAAAGTTAAGGGGAATGGATACTTGCAAGGCTCTTTCAGCTTTCTGGTTTTTTGACTCGTACCTGACAACCTTCCTCTATGTGTCGGTGATGTTTTTCTGGGATATTTTTAGATTTTGTATGAAAATAAAACTACTCATAGAAAAAAAATCTCTGCTCTAACTGTTGAACACAAAATGTATATGATTGCTGTTTTTAGCTGTTTTGTTTGGTAACTGTTAGATTATATTACAGGAAAAATTGAAAGTGAAACGAATCTAATTGATTTTTATTTTTTAGCTTGACAGCTGGTCATTTCTACAAACATTTAATTATACATTATATCCCATTACATTTCCAAGTGAGAATGCGGCGGAGTGGAAAAAGCTCTTTAAACCATGTGCCTCCCAGAGACTATTCTTGCCAGTAAGTCCTCCCCCCTTTTTTTTTTTACTTTGAAGTTTACTTTTACATACATGAGTTTCTGAAGAGTTATATAAGTTTAGTTCAATAAACAAATGTACATTTAAGTTTTCTGTCTTAATTACTTTCCTCGTTGCTGAGACTAATACCCAGTGTTAAAGCAGTTGTTTAGCTCACAGGCTGTGGAGGTTTCCGTCCGTGAGCAGTTGGTTCCAAGGCAGGCTGGCTTGACAGAGGGGCAGCTGTTCATGGGACAGGATGCAGCAAGAGCCAGTGCGAGACAAGCCTCTCTCTGTCCCTACATTGTATCCAGTCTACCAGCGTTCGGGTGGTGCTAATCCGTCAGTGGACTGATCCAGCGATCACCCACTCTTACTCCCAGCACCCTTAATCCCAGAATTGCACTAGGAATCAATCACACACTTTAGATTCAGCCACCTCCAAAAAATCCTATGACCGCATGAGGCTTTGGGGGGACATTCAGATACAAACCATGACATATATTACTTTCCTTGGCTGTGAGGAAGAAATGTTCCCATAGAGCAGGTCAAAGCTATGATAAAAGTCTTGCTAAGAATAAAATATTTGAGGCCAGGCATGTAGCTCAGTGGGAGAGCTCTGGCCTAGTGTGTACGAGGCTCAGGTTGAATCCCAGCCTTGTTTCTTGTGCAGCTGTGAAGTGATTCAAGCAACCCTAGCAGATTAAGAATATAGTTTACCAAATCCAGAATATCGGATAGAGTTACATTATAGTTTTAATAGTCTAATTTGCCTACCCGTATCTTTGATGCTGTGCTTAAAAATTTTTGATCTTGCAGTCTTTCTCAGTCTTCCTTCCATGATAAAAAGCACTCAAGTGAGGGATTGAGATCGGGAAAAAAAATATTAAAATACTTTAGGCCTTAGAAGTTTTAAAAATGTTTATACTGAGTTATTGCAGTGTCACACTGACCGTCATTCCTGCATGAGTGTCTGTCTTCTGCCAGTCATTCGCGCTGAAGTGCCTGGTGTGTGGGAAGGGGCAGAGGCAGGGCCCGCGCTCGCATGGAGCGTCCTCACTAGGCAGGTAGTCGTGCAGATGAGCTCTGGAAACGCGGGGCGTGATGAAAGAAAAGGACGAGAGACAGGCATGTCCCCGTCCGCTTTTTCTCCTTATTGACAAGTTTAGTTGTTGATGCTGTGATAGGAAGTTTGTCAGATCATTTAATCATATGGTCTGGTTACATTCCTAAGTGGAACTCTGGGAGAGTAGGATGCATTCTGGAAACCTGTCAGATTGTTCTTAATTACTTGTGCATCGTTTTTTGTAAACCAGGTTTAAGTACATTGATACTTTATTTTGCCTAATGACAAACCTTTCTTGCTGAGCTTCTCTTCCTTTAAAACAGACAGGTGAAAAGGACCAAAATGAACTAGAGAAAAACATAGGCGCGTTTATTATATAACCTTATATCTGACTTCTAGTGAGGTGAGCTTGAGACTTCATGCAGCATCCTCCTAGTTGGCCAGGAACGCAGTGGCCTCTAAATAGATGATGAAAGCATCCCCTTGTAATTGAGGTCTTCGAGAGCAGATGAACATCCCTACTCAGGCTCTGCAGTCAACCGTCAGCTCTTTCCCTCACCCTGACCTTACATCTGCTAATGGTGAACTAAGGGAGCAGTGAGGTGATTTCTGGCCAGTAGCTGCTCATTGAGGCGGTGGTGTAACTCTAGTTGATCAAGATGTAGCAGCTTTGGAAGGTAGCAGAATGGGGGTGAAACTCTTGTCCCCATATTCTTACATAAAAAGGTACAGATTCATCTCAGCGTTACATCTTGCTACTAGACCACGAGAGGTGGTAAATTTAAATGTGTGGGAATTGGATTCTAAAGTTTGTGGGTAAGGCAGAATGACGACTACCCTAGAAAATCTCTGGAATGGACCTCCTTCTGCTAAGGCAGTTCTCGTCTTCACCCTTGCCAAGTGCGTGGTGTTTGTTATTTATTAGCAGAAAGTAAGCATAGAAGTAAGATCTTGGACTGTAGATCTGGGTGGTGTGGGGTCCAGTTTGGTGCCAGCCACTTAACTAGTTGGTACCAAAATGATACAAAAGTGCTGGTGTTACAGGCGGAGGGGAAAAAGGTTAAAAGATCTTCATTTGTATTGATTTATTTCTGTATTTATCTCAGGCAGTTAGGATCTGAGATATAAATCCTCCTGAAGTCAGTGTTATTTTCCATTATGAAAAACATTTCCTCCCTGATCCTTGAAGATAAGGCTTTTATTCCAAGTATAGGTACTGAGTTTTTTGTGTCTTTTCCTAGCTTTTCGTCTCTTAAAAGTTGATGTAATGGTTAGGGTAGCATGATAGATTTAGGACAAAGTATTGTACTTTAGAAAATTAATGTAAATTAGCTTATCTCTTTAGTGTATCTTTTATGTATACTGCTTTTCTTTTATTAATAGAATTACAGTTAACTCATCAAGTATCTCTTCTCGCAGTTAATCCTGAAAGAAGTTGACTCGCTGTTGTATGTTGACACGGACATCCTGTTTTTACGACCCATTGATGATATTTGGTCTTTACTAAAGAAATTTAACTCCACACAAATTGCTGCCATGGCACCAGAGCACGAGGAGCCCCGGATAGGATGGTACAATCGCTTTGCCAGGCATCCGTACTACGGGAAAACTGGAGTCAACTCTGGAGTTATGCTGATGAACATGACACGAATGAGGAGGAAGTATTTCAAGGTAGGCCCCGATACAGAGAGTTGGTTAACATTTAGTGTTATTAAAATCTGGACCAGACTATTCAGAATTCGTTTGTCTGTTGTATATTCATAGTAGTCTGTTCTGTGGAGCATTATAGGAAGTCAGACTAGATTAAAATAGTCCTGCGTGCAGTCGTGAGCACGGTCTCTCTAGAGTGTCACTGGAGGACAGTCGTATCCCGTTACTCTTGAATCCGAAGTATGTATCTTAGGGCAGCAGAGAGTGGTGGTGAGGAGCACAGACTCGCAGCCCTCGACATGGTTCAACCCTGGCAGCTTAATAACTCACTGGCGTTGAGTAAGTTTTGACTTTCTCTCGGCTGAAGTTTGTCATCTGTAAAATGGAACGGTAACAATACCAGGGTCTTGGGCTTTTGTGAGGATTGTGAGGTTCAAATGAGTTGAAATAGTGCCTGACACATGCGAGTGTTGGCTGTTACGGCACTATGCTGGAAGTTAAATTTTAAAAACACCCTTGCACGTTTCTAATCGCAAATGGAAGAGTCAGGTTTTAAATTCACTGATGCACAATTTACCTGTTTCACGTGTGTGAGTTGAATGCGGTGAGCTGCGTCTCATTGTCGTTTGTGGGCTCTGGGGTCAAACTGGTCTTACGGTAACTTCGCTACCCAAGCACTGGAACCACAGCCACTTGGTTAGACTTACAGTGCCCATTGTCTCAACTGAAAAGTAGAAATAATAAACAGACTCATCTAAGCTAGTTCAAAACTGTTTTGTGTAGGCCATGATACTTAGTAAGCAGATTGTAAATTTTAGCTAAAAGCAGTGACTTCTGAGCAACTGTCCGCTGTTGACTTTCCCTCTACTGTTTATTCCTTTATATCTAGTTAGGACTAGAGCAAACATTACAGATTTGACGTGTGACGATGTGAGTCCCTGGGTGTGTCTGTACGTGTGTTTCTTTGTTAGTATTTTTTGTGTGCCACCTGGCAGCAAGACGTACGAATTGGCCCTTGGTGAAGTGTTGGTCTTCTCAGCCGGAGCCGCTTCCTCTTTCCTTTGGTGTGAGCAGGAGCATTTCTTGCGGCCCTGTAGACCACGTGCCAGTGTTTCAGGCTTAGAAGTCTGCCGGGGGGAGGGGTGTCCCCACACTCCTGTGTTTTGTTGATATGGTAATCATTAGTTTTTAGCTTTCCATTTCCTGAACCTTTAAAAATCTTGACTGCAATTCAGTTTTTACTCCCCAAATCAGATGCATTCATGAAACGAGGCCTAGATGACCTCTGGTCTTGCTTAGCAGTGAACATCTTTCTTCAGTTACTCAGTTTTTTGTGTTTTGAACCATGAAGTTCTACTACTAAGTAAAACTGGCCTAGGAACATGTTATTTTCTGATTGTTAGACTATGCTTGGTGATGTTATACCAGAAGATGGTGCTCTAAGATTATCTACTAAGAAATAATGTGACTTCTCAATAACTGCATTTGGAATTCATAGGACTATGAGCAATATGGCAAAGACTGTAGAGATAATTTAATATCATTTGATTCTTAAAATATAGCTATATAGTTTAATTGCATTATTATTATTTACTTGCCGTTGGCGTATGTAAATGACCAAATGACCTTCTTACATACCTCTCCCTCTGTCCTTTTTTGTTTGTGGCAAGTTTTAAGCCAGTAGAGATGTAGATGAGGGGTGTGTGTGTAAAATAACTGCTCAACTTTCTGACTTTTTGCTTTTTTGCATTATTGACTTAAGAAGGAAAGATGAGAGGACGGACTGCTTTGGTTCCGTGGGTACCGTTCCCCACACCCATTATCTCTGTTACAGACAACCCTATTCCTGCCCTGTGAGAACACATTCAGATTTGCTTCATTTTCAAGTGGTTATATTTATGATTGCCGAGGTGGTTTTATACAATTTATTGTTTTAAAATTTATTTTATCATCTATATTTGTTTTTTTTTGATAGTTTTCCTGTCTATATCTTTAGCAAAGAGTGCCTTGATTTTAGTCCTACAGTTCTGACACAGATCTTCAATTTGAGATCTTTAGCCACACAACTTAATTCTTTGTAACCACTTTCGAAGTTGTTCCATTCAGATCCACGAATGGTGTCCACGGCTGTCATCATACGAAAATGCATAGGACCACACCTACAGGATAAAGGTCATCTTTTAAATTCTGTGTCACTCACTTCCTACCATCCATGGCTGTTGAATTTCAGCCTAATATATTCAAGTAACAAATATTAAAAATTTAAAGTGGTAAAAAGTCTACATTTTGTTCTTTGTATTTCTTAATGCTTGACAGACAACAGTGTCACATTGGTTAAGCTCTTGGTTTTTTGCATTACAGTATTTGCAGTTTTGAATTCTTACAAGACTATCTCTTTTTCTCTCATTTTAAAAAATTACTAGAATTTTTCTTAACCTTTGTGTTGCATAAAAATCAAAGAACATAAGTGAGGCACCTGGAAGTCCTTCCCGTGTGTGTTTCTGAGCCGTGTTCGCGTCCTGCTATTTATTACTTGTAAAGTGAGTTTGGCCTCTGTTCCACCCGCTGCGGGCTAGCTTTCCGGCTCTGCAGCTCAGTGTTCAAAGTACTTGGCGTGGTGCCTGACAGAGCAGCACCTCGGTCACTGATTACCTCCAGAAGCGTTAGGCTGGTTTCTAGGAATGCGGCCGTAAATGAATTATTGAAAAGTACTGGGGAAGAGAACACCGTGTATGAGGTGAGCATGTTGTTTTTACTTATCTGAAAGATGTCTGGAGGGAGGACTTGTGTTGTGTTGTAGCAGTGAACGTCAGAGGAGGATAAACTTTTCAAAGTGGAGTCACTAATGCTGGGGAATTGTTAAGTTCCCGGGTTCTGTCATCCCTGGAGCAAAATGTGAACAGCCACCTGTTAATTTCATATTTAAGTGTAGGATAGGCTGAAAATGAATACACCCATCTTCAAAAGCATGAATAATTCTAAAATGAAGCTAGTTGACCTTAATATAGCACAGTATGCATTTTGGTAATAGACTTGATAAAGTTAGAGCTGTATTTTTCTGCTTTAAAAATTGCAAAACTATTTCTCTCATATGTGTATACTTCAAAAAGAAGACCTGAAGTTAGAAAACGCATTATTAGGCACTGGGAATGGAGTTGGAGAGAGGAGAGGGAGGGAGCTTACGATACAGACGTGTGGAGCTGTCACAGTGAAAGGAATTTGTACAGTTAGTATATTGTTAATAATAAAAAGTATCTTACAAATTGCAAAACAAAATTGTGCGTATAAAAGCTCAATTCATTATTTAAGAGGTCATAAGGAAAAAGGAGTTTCCCCTTTACACAGTTCTCCCCAGTTTTATGCTTTGGGCAAAGTGACGTCATAAACTTCGCCGTGTACTCTTTAGAGCTCTGAAAAATGTATTTTGAAACAAGTAAATATGTATATTAACACTTATATAAGATACTTTTCTGTATCTTCAGCTTGCCTGTTAAATTTGGTAAGTAAAGAACTGATTTCTATGTTGGTACACATAATCAGATTTTAAAACTTTTTAAGAATAAAAAATAAAATTAATGATACAGAATTTCACTAAACAAAATGATAGAAATTCAGCAGTGGTTGTTACATTGCATATTGTTGTCTTCATATTAGTTGCTCAGGTTACCAGATACAGGCATGCAAAATAGACCGAAAAATTAAGCATTAAACTATTCCTTTCAATAAACCAATAGAAATTGGTAGTACAGTTATCTTAGCTATCTTGTGTGTGTATATATATATATATTTTTTTCCTTCCTTTTTTCTTTCTTTTCTCCTTTCCCCCAGTCCAGTTGTTCTTTCCTTTTGAGCAGTTTTTCTCCCTTTCACCATATCTGTTGTACCTTTCAGATCTTATTCACTCTTTCAGGCTCTTACACTAGAGAGACAATGTGATGTTTACACACGTGAGTCTGATTTCTTTCACTCACGTGTGGTCTCTCGTTGCTTCCCATAGTCACATTTTTAGTATGTGTGTGATATTTTAGAGAAGGGGTGATCGGGTATAACTGTGGACCTCATATGGAAATGCACATCTGTGGCTAAAGAAAGATGTTTTCATTTTTATTTTCCTTATTGTACCACCACTGTGGTGAAAAATCTTCTCATGTTGCTGGGCGTGGTGGCGCACGCCTGTAATCCCAGCATTCAGGAGGCTGAGGCAGGAGGATCGATGTGAGTTTGAGGCTAGCCTGGACTACGTAGTAAGTTCAAGGCAGCCTGAACTCTCTAGACAGACCCTGTCTCAATGAAACAAATTCTTTTTATGTAATTTATCACCATTTCCCTTTCCTCTTTTTTGAATGGCTGTTTGTCCGTATTCTTTGCTCATTTCTTGGTTGTTTTTCCATATTTACTTGAACTTTTTTTTAAAGTTTTTAAAATTCATGTTTGCAGTACATAGCATTACATTTATTGTGGGTTTTTTTTTTTACATGATTTATATATGCTTCTTTATTAATTTCTCATAGTTTTTCTTTAGCTATAATAGCTTTAGCTATAATACTCTCAGTTATACCATCATCAAATAATACTGCTGCTGTCACTTCTTGTCCAGTAGTTTTCTATTAGAACTTTTTCCATTATGTTACACAGATTTTTTTCTCCATTTGATATTTTTTTTCTGAAAAGATTGCACTGGACCCTGTAATTCTATTTTTCATAGATTTTCTTTTAATAGATATTTCTTTTTAATACACACATCTAATCAAATAGTTGATTTATAATGATTACCTCTGTGTGTTTATAGCTAAATATATATATATTTAAGATTAGGACAGTATCTTTAAAATGCAGGAAATTTTCATATCTATGTGTCAGAATTGACTGTAAGCATGTTAAGAAATAATAAAAAGTGGGTAGAACAACACAGTACTACAATATAATAAAAAGTGGGTAGAACCTGCCACATGATACATTCTCATTATTAGCTGTTATTTTTACCATGACTGCTATTATTCCCACACTGACCTTTTATAATTAGATGTTCAGAGAAATTTGAAATGCTAAATCAAATTTAAAAAATTTAAAAATGCACACGCCTGAAATTAAACACTAAAAATCAATATACTTTGCAAAAATTGAATTGGAGAAAGAGATGGGCAATGGAAAACAAAAGCAGAAATTCATCAGTTTGTGTCTACTTGCAGTACATTAGCACCCCTGCTGTTTAGGGGGATATGTCTCCAGACCCCCAGTGGATCTTGTCAGGTCAGCTGGTGTACCGAGCCCTGTATGTATGGCGCTGGAAGAAAGTGTCACCTGTAAGTGAGCACAGTCAGAAATTAACACAATAATAAGAAAGTAGAAAACCTGTAACAGTCTGCTGTGATAACAGTTACCTGAGTGTACACTCTCAGAATAAGCTTGCTATACTGTAGATCGTAGAAACGTCAGTCTCTTAAGTTTTTCTTACTGAGAACCTTCACCTTTCCGTAGTTCTCATCTTAAAGTTAAGTTGTAGTAATTAAGTAGTACTTAAACTATTGCTTGGGTCTGGGGATACAGCTCAGCCGCACAGTGCCTGCCTGGCAAGAGTGAGGTTGTGAGTTCGATTCCTGGTAGCAGAAAAAAAAGATTGCACATTAAACTGCTGCTACTTTTTCTGTTGTTTCATTGTGGATACGTGTAGCTTCAGGTACCTTTGGTGTCTTCCCCTAATGGGAGGTAAGGGTCCCGTGGTTTCATAACACCAGGAGTTTGCAGTTCTCCCGTGGCTCTGTGGTTGTTGCTGAAGGAGGAGGGGGGTGTTATGCTACCATGGAAACCTGGCGTTTTGAAATTGGTTTAATATTTTTGTCCACAGAATGACATGACGACCGTGCGGCTGCAGTGGGGAGATATCCTTATGCCATTGCTGAAAAAATACAAACTGAACATCACGTGGGGTGATCAAGATCTGCTGAATATCATGTTTTCTCATAATCCAGGTAATCACCTAAATTCCTTGTACTCTGTATGTTTGTAAAAAGAAGTTGCAGATAATACTTAGTCAAAAGGGGAGAAATGCATTTATTTGACTTTGGCTTATGCTAGTGGTTGCCTCTATTTACAGTTGAGACAGACTTAAATTCTTCTTGAATTTTAATTTAGTTGGAAGAGATCTGAATCCCAAATGCATCTTTCACTATATAAGTCTTACTTGCTAAGGGGTGCATTTTTAAACTAAAAATTTTGCAGTGTTAATCCTGTAGAATTAGGGTGTTTGCTTCATTGTTTGATTTTTCTTTGTGTAGAAAGCCTTTTCGTTTTTCCGTGCCAGTGGAATTACCGACCCGATCACTGCATCTACGGGAGCAACTGCCAGGAGGCCGAGGAAGAAGGGGTCTTCATTCTTCACGGGAGCAGAGGCGTCTACCATGATGACAAGCAGCCAGCGTTCAGAGCGCTTTATGAGGCACTGAGAAGTGTAAGGCCTGCCTTTTCCTTCACTTCCGTTCGGTAGTGTCCAAGCTCAGGGAGGGTGCGGTGGTGTAGATCTAGAGGCCCCCAGAGCCTCCTGCGTGCAGAGGTGGGAGCTGTGGGGGCGACTGGAGCACGGGGCAGGCAGCTGGCGCGTGCGGAGGTTGGGTCTGGTCAGCGGTGGGCTGTGGCCGCCTTCCTGGCTCCTCCCTCCGCCCTCCCTTCCCGCCTGCCCTGCCGGGGGCTGCTCTGTGCCGTCCGCTCCGCCTCGAGCCAGCCGACTTTGGACCGAAACCGCTGCAAGCTGCGAGCCGAGGTGAACTTCCGTAAACTCCGGGTGCCAGGTGTTGTGGCTCGGGGATGCGAGCGTACCACAGATGTCCCGTAAATCTGTTGCTTAGGTGCGTCAGTTATTCAGCACGTTGCTCTCTTTGCTTTGTCATTGGTTCTCGCTCTGTAAATTGTGTCTTTCCAAGCCATTTGCCAGTAAGTTACTTACGGTACCCTTTCTTACCCCTGAAAGCTTCAGTGTGTTTTACTAAGCATAAGAACGCTGTCTCATCACCGCAGCACAAATGCTGAGCTCAGGAAACGTGAGGATTCTTCAGTCTCTCACCCTTCCGTCTCGTCTGTGTGTGTTCGCGCTGTTCGAAGGAGCGTGTCTTAGTCTTTGTCTTCACAGGCGCTGGTTTGCAGAGTGCAGACGCCTCTCCCCCTTGTTAAATGTTCTGTTTTTGTTGGATGTTTCTTCGCGGTCAGTCTCAGGGTACACACCCCTGATCCGATGCCACGTGTGATGCTGTGTTCTTCTCAGGCTGTCGCAGTCTCAGTCCCCTTTGTCTGCTGTGCTTTGCTGGTGCTGTTGCCCACGTAGCGAGGACGTTGTTCAGCTTCTCCTCGGCGCACAGCTACTTTTCCTCGTGTACGTGGTCTGCGGGAACAGTGCTGTAAATCATGGGCCCAGAGGAGGGACCTGTGGAGGGTGACTGGGCTGTGAGGACAGTGTACCGTCTTACTGTGAGGAGTAGGGTCTGGTTGGAGGAGGTGGATCGCGTGGCTGTCACAACTTTCCTACACGTTAGCCTTGGTGGCGGCTCTTACTGTGTCTGCTGTGCTTTACTGGTGCTGTTGCCCACGTAGCGAGGACGTTGTTCAGCCCTTACTGTGGCGCGGCAGGTCGCTGTTGTTCAGGTCTAGCTCTCCTTCCACAGGCGTAGTTGGCGCTCAGCAGTCTGCCGTGAGGAGGGGTGGAGCCCTCCCTTCTCGGCCGTCTCCGGGTGTGTGTATGATGGGGTCTTGGGTGCTTCCCCTCCCACCCCAGTGACTTGTGTCTTTCCCTTCTAGTCAGGTTGTTGCATTTTTCGGCCACGTATTGTGGCATTTTAACATCTTTATCATGTTTTTAAAGTTTCTTCTTATTTTCTGTCCCCCCAAAATATTCCAGGTTTGTCTTGTAATTTCCTGTCCTAGTTCTGAAATTCGCCATCTTTCAAAGGAGCTGTGTTTTCCTTTAGCAGGCTTTGCACGTTGGGCGTGTTTATTGCTACCGGGGTGTCTTTGCTTGTAGAGGGGCCCCTTCAGGGACAGAGCTGCGAAGTACAAACGCAGACACACAGAATCGTGTGTTCATACTGATGCCTCCGCTTCTAGCCCATTCCTCCAAGATCTTCCTTCCTTCTTCTTCTGTAGGGTTTATCTCCTTTCACTTCCACAGTTAGAATCTTGACTCCTAGCGTCAGCAATTTCCTCATTTGTTCAAACCTATAGTGCATTTAAAATAATTTCTTTTTTTTCTTTTTTTTGGTTTTTCTCTGGTACTGGAAACCAAACTCACGACCTTGCGCTTGCCAGGCAGGCGCTTTGCCGCTGAGCTAAATCCCCAGCCCCTTAAAATAATTTCGGAAGTGCTTCATCTCACTGTTACCTCCCCTGTCAGCCCTAAAAACCAGCCTGCTGAGAGGGGTTCAGGACTCGTTGCCAGTCACCCTGTCCTGCTCCTGTGCGGGTGCGTACTCAATAGAGTGCTCAGAAGTGACCTCGGGTTCTTTTTTTCTCCCTTTAGTGTGGCTGTTTTATTTATTTGCAATACATTTTCTTCTGTCCTTGATACAAGTTTTTAATAAGTAAAATATTAACGTCCTTCAGAAAGTTGAAGCCATACACTTGGGAGGCTGAGACATGAGGGTCACTGAGAGTTTGAGGCCATCCTGTACTACATGATGAGATGCTGAGTCAAAATAAGAAATGTTGAAAGCCTGCGAGGGTTTACTTAGGTGTACCCTCTGACCGCTGTCCCTCCTAGCACCCCCACCCCCCAGGTTTCCGGTGGGGCTGTGTTCTGCCTTTCCTTCCTGCGCTTCTCTTTGGAAGATGAGTACCTGCATTGTGTACTTGTTTCGTAATTTCCCTTTTCGTACACAAAGGGTAGCACACTGACAGAATTATTTGTTCTTCTTTTTTTTTCTACTTAAGATATTCTGGAAATACATGCATCACTCTCGGTGATAGGATGCTTGATAATCGTTTCTGGTATTTTGAATTATGAATAATGGAGCATCACATAGCCTTGCCATGTGTACCTTTGTATTTTGGGCAGGTGACTGTCCAGGTGACATCCCTTGAAGTGGGAGTTTGTATTGGAGATAGTGCCCATTTTGCCAAGATACAGGGTTTGTTTGCATTTTTGCCAGCAATTTATGATGCAGCCTTGTTGCTGTCTATCCTTATTTTTTTATATTTTTTATTTTTTTGGGTTTTTCTCCGGTACCAGGAACCGAACTCACGACCTTGCGCTTGCCAGGCAAGCGCTTTTGCCGCTGAGCTAAATCCCCAGCCCCTGTCTATCCTTATTAACATTGTGTGAGCAAGCTTTTGAAATTTTGTCATTCTGATGGATGAGAAATGGAGCCTACTAATTTGCATTTATCTTATTATGAAGTTGACTCTTTTATATTTTTAAGAACTTGTTGTAGTTGTTTTTGAGACAGGATCTTATTTTAGTTCACTTTGCCATTGTATTGAGCTTGCTGTATAACCCAGATTGCCCTTGAACACACAATCCTCTTGCCTCAGCCTCCCAACTGCTAGGATTACAAGTGTGTACCACCATGCCCAGCAGGAACCATGTATCTTTTTAGGGGTGAATTTTTTTTTTTTAAAAGTCTTTCACCTATTCTTCTGTAGATTTAAAAACAAATACTATTGAAGCACAATTTATATAACTTCACAGATGTCCCATTTCATGTATGAAATCTGTTGATTTTTAGCATGTTTACAGAACTGTACAGTGATTATAATGAGAATGTTTTGTTTTCCCCTCCTTTTCATTTTAAAAGTTCATTAAGTATATTCTTTATAAGGAATATTAGTTTTTTAATCAGCGATATATTATGGTATTTTCTCCACTTTGACTTTATTGAAAGAATCTTTTATGTTTTGTTTATTTAAAAAATTTCACACAATTATTAACTTTTTTTTAAAGAAAAAGTCATAATTAGCCTTTTACTACCAACAGGTTGTAGAACTACTTATAGAAGGATTCACTCATACACTATTTCATTTATTACATTCACACTTTAATTCTTTCTATTTTGGAAGCGGCATGGATATTATTTGATCCTTTTTCAAGTAGCTCTGCTGTTGTCTCAACACCGTTTAAAGTTTGTCGTCAGCCCAAAGTGTTGAGATACATTGTTGTGTACTAAAATTCCATTTGTAATTTCCAGACTTCCCGTTTCATTCTGTTGGTCTGTCCATTTGTGTACTAATCTTTTTAAATTACTCTTTTTGAATTACTGATACTATGCTTTCTGATAGATGACTTTGTGCTGTTTTATTTTTTAATTTTTTAAATATTTATTTTTAAGAGAAGGTCTTGCTTTGAAGTTCAGGCTAGATTTGAACTCACTCTGTAGCCCAGGTTGGCCTTGAAATTGTGGCGATCCTCCTGCCTCGGCTCCCCACATACTGAGATTACAGGTGTGTACCACTAGGCCTGGATGTGCTGTTTTACTATCTGATAGGGCTATTCCCTCTTCATGGTTTGATCTTTTCAGTGTTCCCCTAACTATTGCATGTTTACCTTCCCACATAGATATAGAAAAAGCTCATTGATAATTTTATTGGGGCCATATTAGCGTCATGCATTAATTCAGGTACTACCAACATTTTGTTGTTTGCTATGGTTTGAATGTCATCTATGCCTGCCAGAACCTATTATATTAGTCACTTTCTCATTGCTGGGACAGAATGCCCAACACTCAGAGTTTAAAGGAGGTGAGCTTCATTTTGAATCTGGTTGGTGGCTTCAAGGCACAAACAAGAGGGCAGAGGGGCCCGACAGAGGGAAGGTTGCCCAACCTGTGCCAGCCAGGAAGCAGAGAGAGAGGGGAGGAGCAGGGACCCGCCTCCCAGCATCCTCTACCGCCCAGCAGCAAGGCAGCTGGGAACTCATCTGCCAAGGAATCCACAGGCGAGTGCAGCGTCCCCACGATGCAGTCCTCTTCCAAACACAGGAGACTGCGTGGGGCATTTAGGGTCCAGACTGGCGCTGCGATTTAATTGCCTGTGTGACGGTATTGAGCGGTAGTGGGGCCACTAAGTAATTGTGGTCACGGGGGCATCACCTTCGTGAGGCGTTGTGTGGCTATCTAGAGGCGGTTCTTAGAGGCTCGCTTTTGGATAGTTGCTTTTGTGGTTTTCACTGTGATGCCCTGAGCATCAGCCTAGCAGGTGCTGGTGCTGTGCTCATGGGTTTCCAGAACTGTGAATGAAATAAAGATCTTTGTAATTATCTGCCGTAGTTTTATTTTTATTTTTATTTTTGTTTTTGTTTTTCTTCCAGTATCAGGAATCAAACTCATGACCTTGCGCTTGCCAGGCAGGCGCTTTTGCCACCGAGCTAAATCCCCAACCCCTGCCATGGTTTTATTAAAGGAACAAAATGCAGACCAGGACGGTGGTGTTGAAGTATCCTAATCAAGAGTGAGGGCTGTGTTCCCGTTCATCTGCAGGAATGCCTTTGGGTTTTCTTCCTGCAGATTTTAAATATGCATTACATTTATACTTAAGTATTTTATCATTTATGTTGCTTTGTAAATAAGGCTTTCTCTGTCAAATGTTTATAATTTTGGAAGAAATTTACACTGTGTCTACCCTACTAGCACCCCAGATATCTGTTCTCTCTTCTCCTTGTTCTTCCAGTCTTGTTTTGTGTAATTAAGGAGGATTGATGGAGATGATTATACTTCATGTACTTCAGGGGGATGCTGAGCTCTGTGGGTGTCTTGGGGACCAAGACTTGGGGCGGATGTTACGGGCTTCGGATTTACCTTCCATCGACGAGCTGTCCACGAGCTGTATCGTTGGTCCTGTTAGCTGAGGCACTGCTAACCTAGGGAGGCGTACATGGGGCCGTTGAACTCCTGTAGATGTGCTTTCTGCTCTGCTAGACTCTGCTTACTCTTAGTGGACATGGAAGCAAGATATAAATAAATGGAATTGTGTTAGTTTGGCCTCTAAAGGTAGGGATCCGAAGAAGAGCTGATGACCCTCCTGGCCAGTTCTCACTGCTTGCTGGTGACTGAAAACCTCTGGTCTAGTATGAAGTGGTAAACAAGAGTAAGAGCACTTGACTAACCTTTTGTGACAGAGCCTTTACTAGAACTGAGGGTTTAGTGCTGTTGTTACAGGAGTTGTTTGAGATGGGCCCTGAAGAATGAGTAAGAGTTTTCCAGATGGGTTGGCCCATCTGGGCTGGTATCTAGCTGCCTGAGAGCACTGTCTGGACTGTGGCAAGGTCCCTGGAGAGCCCCGGCGCTGAGCCGTTGTCTGACTGGAGCGGTGGGTGAAGGCGAAGGCACGCAGTGGCCAGCCTGAGGATGCGCCGTGGACGTGCTGTGTGAGGTGCTGCTCACAAGGAAGTGGAGCTTTCTCCGGGAAATCATTCTCCCACGCTTGGTAGAAGACAAATTGGTAATAGCTCAATAGGCTGTGGTTTCTGTAGATTATTTGCTAAGTTTCTTGTCCTAGAAACTTGACCGGTAAAGTTACTAAATAATCAGCTTATCATGATACGACTACAAACACTGAAGAATTATAAAATTTAGTGTTGATTTTAATTTTAATGTAGCAGGCTTGTGTGCCTTCAGAAATGAATATCATATTTTAATAATGCTTTATTATGGGTTGTCAGAAGGTGATAAAAATGAAGAAGAGTACTTTTGGGGTCCTGAGACTTCGTAAGATACAAAAGAAATGCGTTCCTTTGTTTCCTTTGAGCATTTAAAAAGAATCTTATTACAGAACTAAATCTCTCTGGCTTTACATTTTTTTCCTGTAGCATATAAATGTATACCTTTTAAAATCTGAGTAATAGCTTTAAGTTGATTAATTACACTTTTAAAAAATAGATCTTATTTTTAAAATAATTTCAAACCCTAATTTTTTGGTGTGTTTGTTTTGGGTCTGTGTTAACTACAGCTTATATCCATCCATTTTTCAACTTAATGAATTTAATCAGCCTCTTATGGTGCTCTTGCTTTGTGTTTTTATCTTCCCTTAATCTATAATTCAGTGAGAAGTGTAATTTTTTAAAGAACTGCATTCAGACAAGGGTATTTATGCAAGTTTCAGACGGCAGCTTAGTCATAGCTGTGGGATCCAGTGAACAATATGAATTATAAAGGACGCGAACCATCTTTAAAATTAAATACATAGCTGTATCTGCTAACAAATCAGTTTTTATAGTCCGTACATATTTGTTAAATATTAGTTGTTGGGTGAATAAAAATACTAAGCTTCAAAATTGGAAATTCAAAATGGTAACAAAACATTTTATGGCTCAATGAGGTATTTTCTGCTTCATGTATTTCATTCTGAATTACTGTATTTCCTTGGTGTTTCTGCATTAACTTTGATTTACTGTACACCTGGTTACATTTGCATAACTATTTCTGCAAATGATCTTCAGTGCTTTCCCTACCACAGTACCTCCTTAGAGATGGTTGACATTCAGGATTTGTTAGATCCAGTTGTTATTCTGTCATCCTTGTCGTGCATATTCTGCTCTTTGTTTATTTTTGTGGAACTGGGGAGAGAACCCAGGACCTCATGCATGCTAGACAAGCACTCTGCCACTGAGGTACATCTCTGGCCCTTTTTTAAAATTTTGTTCTGAGATAGGGTCTCACTGAGTGGCTCTGGCTGCCGTCCTGCCTCAGCCTCCTGAGTGCTGTGCTTACAGGTGTGTGCCACCTGCGAATTCTGTTCTTTGAAAATGCCTCCTCACATTGCCTCCTCGTGATCATCGTAGCCTCCTGGTGTGTTTGCTGCCTTTCAGCTGGCACGATATAGAAAGGCTGGCTTTCCTAAAAGGTTCTGGGTAATGTGCTGGAAAGGAGGGACTGTGCTGGGACAGGTTCCTCAGAGGAGCTGACACCTGACCTGAGCCCGAAGGGTGGTGAGCTCAGGCCCTGAAGCAGTGGGGGGTGAGTCAGGCACAGAGCAGGACAGCGAGAGACCTGCAGTGGTGCAGGGCACCCCGAGATGCAGGTTAGTACTGCGCAGCCCCGAAGGCATGGCAGCTGCGGTGAGGGCACAGTGCAGTCTTTAGGTCATGTTTCTATGGGTGGACAAGACAGTTGGTCTTTTTCCTTAGAGTCAGACTGCTGTGTCATAGAGCCAGGTGAAGTCTGATTCATGAGAAAATGTTCTTATTTCAGAAAATACTCATCCAAACACATTTTTCTCAGCGAAGGGAAAGAATTAATCACAAACACCAGAATTTAAATCACATGGAAATGAAGGAACCGAATCTTAAGTATTGCATAGTCCTGGAGTCTGGAGTCTTCCCCTCATTCTTAAATGTCTTTACCGTGTCTGTATTTTATGGTTAATATTGGATAGTAGAAACAAGAAACCAGCCCACATTTGGTCTCCCATGGTTATATTCCTCTCAGCCAGTCGTTTCACACGCTGGAGTAGCATTACTCGACCGTGTGGTTTGACGAAGTTTACTGCAGGCTTGGCCGTGTCCGGCCGCCTCTCTCAGTGTGCACTGCTCGTTCAGCCTCGTCCTGCAGGCCGTTTGAAGGTGACAGCACGGTTTGTGTGCTCGGAGGAGGACTGCTGCGTTTGCAGAAGTGCCCAGACCAGTGCTGGCGAACCTTTCAGAGCTGCCAGCGCTAACCAAGAGCCAGCTGCGGTGTGCGCGGCGTGGATTCGCCACCACTAGCATAGACTTTCGGAGCGAGGCTGCTGGGGCGGAGTCCTGGCTTAGCCACTGACTAAGTTTGTAACAGTGGGGAAATGCTCCCTCCTTGCCTTGATTGCCTCTGTAAAATGGGGATGTTAATATGTATCTCATAAAGTTACTGTGAAGTTTAAACACAGTAAGACATATAGAACTCTTACGGTGGCATCCAGCAGATAGAAACTAAGCTTCCCTCCTTTTTATTTCTGTCTTCAAAACCATTTTAGATGTTTCTATTGAGTGTGTGTGATTGATTCTTTAAAATCTCTTAAAGAGTAATGGTTTCCTGTAGTTGTGCTCACAGTTTTCCTGCGTGAAAGGTACAGACATTTAGGATCTCTGCATCTCCTCACCAGCAAGTGCATGTAAAAATGCAGGCGTACTTGTCGGTCGATGGTGGCTTTCTGCAGACGGACTGTGCTGAGATCGGAGCACATTTCTCCTCCGTCCGTGTGCTGATGAACCGCAGGGATGATCGCAGGTTATTGCCACTTTTTAGGTTTCAGGTTCTGAATTTCCTTTGTGATTTTGCGTTTTTAACTGACTTCAAACGTTTATGTAAATTATTTATTTTCAACACCCATCCGTCTTTCTAATTGAAAATATGCCTAGTTGAAAACACTAAATCAAAAAATAAAACTGATTTAAAATAGTAAGATCACAAATTATTTCCACTTAACTACTGCTACAGTGTTCCCAAATATATTCCTTAGGGTATTTTACATCTTTTATAGTAAAAACAAAATGAAGAGGATTGTTGAAAATATATTTTGGAATTAATGGGTCAGTCATCATTCAGCTGGCGTATTTCCTGGTTTACATTGTAGACCTTTTTGTGACTCCCTCCGAGCGTTGCAAATAGCAGTTCTCAAATGTCTTTAGCTTTGGGAACTTCTGTGTAAATAAGGCTCTCTGGGAAGTGTGGAGCTGTACTGTCATAGAGCATTCTTCCCTCCGGGCCTCTGTCTCAGCCCTTTCTACTGTAGCCTCACCACTTTTTCCGGAGACGTTTTTGGAAGGTGGGAATGGGGATTTGCACGAGAAAATTCTGGGGGTTTTTGGACACTCAGGCTGATCTAAAACTTGGAATCATCTTGCCTCAGGCTGTTGAGTAGTTGGGACTGCAGCGCTGTACCACCAGGCCTGGCTAGACCCCCACTGCTTTTTTAAAAGAAGCCCAGCGTTCATAGTTTCTCCTGGGTACCTTCAGAGTGTTTGGTCACTTTACAGCAGGGTCTCTGGGTCTTCTCTGCCCTTGAGCATGTTTTCCCTTGGCTTAGAATGCCCTTCTTCCGTTACCCACCTCTGAATAGCTTTCCCCGATTCCCTCAGAGAGTTACCATCTCTGTCTCCCTTCGCTAACAGTTCTGTGTGATTTGTTGAAAATGTATATTGAACACATACTTTTTGTGAGGTATTAGATGGAGGTTAATATTAAACTGGAGAAGTTGTGGGGAGAATAATGAAATTTTTACTTTTCATTTTCTTTTTCTAGTGTTCTTTTGAAGATGACAGTGTGCGTTCCTTATTAAAGCCTTTAGAACTGGAGCTTCAAAAGACTGTGCATACATACTGTGGAAAAATTTACAAAATATTTATGAAGCAGTTAACAAAAAGCATAAGAGACCGTTATGACAGACCACCAAAGAAAAGGTGATTCTTGTGACTGCTGAGGTAAATGGATGAAAACAGCAAAGTATCAGAGGATGTGTGTGAAGGAATGGTCTTCATGAAGTATCTGGGAAGGAAATACTCATCTCCAGAACAGTTTCTTCCCGAAGAAGTTATAAAAGCAGTATATTCATGTGATGAAGAATGAGCTAAAATCCTGAGTCCCAACAGGAAGACACGTTTGATCTCTGATGTTTTGTAGCACATTCCTTGCCGTCGCTCCATTATTGCTGAAAGTGTTATTGAATGCTTGTAGACCAGCGCTCTCTGGACTTTTACTCTGAGTGAGTGAAAGGGTAGGGGCGGTGGGCGGAGGAGACGTACCTCTTACATGTGGACATGCACACTGTGAGTATAGCAGTAATTTATGTCAGCACTAACCTCACTTTATGCACGTGAGAAAAAGTTGTTTACAGGAGCAGAAAAGGTTCTGTTGCTCAAGAAATGTGATGTGACCAATGTAGCCCTTGACAATCAATGTGTGCCGTTACGCATTTCATCTCTGTTCTACAAGTTTTCTGTGACAATCGTGTTCAAAATCATCTTTCGACTATAAGCTGCATGTTGAGTTCTATGAGAAAGAGTAAAAATAGTGAAAATGTTCAGGTTTGTGTGTGGTGCGTATGTGTGTGTGTGTGTGCATGGGGTGAGACAAGAAGAAATGTTTTCATTTTGTGTGCATTAAACTGTTTTGCCAAATCTCACTTATAAGATATTTAGAACTTTTTTTATCACTTTATGTGAAAGTTTTCAGCTTTCCTGGGCATTCTGGAAGCAAGATATATCATGGCGATAATAAAGTGAGGACCTTAATAGTAATGCTAGTGTGATGGTGGAAAATGCAGTGGACCAAAGTGTACAAGCAGTATACGTCCTGAGATCAGTAATTTAGGGAAGAATGGTCCATTGAAACTATTCTACCTCAAAATGGCTTTGCAGGATATTTTTTTGAAGAAGCAAATTTATAGATCCAATTTAAGTAATTAAATTGGAGTAAGTTAAATTTACTTAACTCCAAGTTAAATTGGAGTAAATTAAATTTAAGTAAGTTAAACAACTTTGATGGGTGATTTGGATTAATAAGATTGCTATATCTAACTGCAGAAAAGTAGTTTTGATTGGGTTAATGTGCATGTCTTCATTTTTTGAACAGTGCTAGCGATAGTTAACTTTTTAATCTTGAAGATGAGAAAAATATTGACTTCTCTTCCCATTGTTGACCTGCTGTCTACATAATATAATTCGAGATCTGAGTGCTTAGTATGTACCATGCTGGAGCATGTCTCATTTTGCTGTGTGCTATTTGGTTATCTTCATTTTCCCTCTGCTGTTTTAATGCTTAAACAGAGAAGGGGACATGATGAACGAAAAAAAATCACGAAAATTGTGGCATTTGGCTTTGAGACGATACAGTGCCTTCTCTGTAGACCTGAAATATGTAGAAATTAAATGGTTGGTACTGTTGTCTTCTGTCTGCTGTGGTTCAGTTAGGGACAGATTAGAGGAGAAGGTTAAGAAAGGCAAATTAAAAGTTGACCCCACCCCCGCAAGACCTCCCACAAAAGAGAGGGTGATAACTAGCCTGGCTCTTGTAATAGATAGGTTGCGGAGTGTGAGAACTACGGTGAAGTGGAGCTTGCTGAGGAGGAAGTGAGAACGCTAGAATTTCAGGCTTCGGCTGATGCATATATATTTCTAATGGTCCACACAGGAGAGCATTGCTGTCTGGCTCTGGAGGGAGGGAGCTTGTTAAAAATAGATGTCCGGAACCTTCCTCTTTTGGAGACTAGTATCCTGTGTCTAGGATGGAGTCTGCAAAATCTTTTTAATGAAAAGATTTGAAGATTACACAGAAGTAGGGAGCATAGTACAATGGTACTAATCACCCAGATCTCATGCTCTACTATGTCAATATTTGTTTCATTTATTCCTCTTTTCTTTGCTGATTGTGTGTTTGTGTATGTGTGTGTGCACCCAGGCACACATGTGTGTGATTATTTTTTTTTTTTTTTGAACTGGGAATTGAACCTAGACCTTCACATCTCCAGCCCTTTTTACTGTTATTTTTTATTTTGAGACAGGGTCTCACTAAGTTACCCAGGATGGGCTGAACTTGAAGTTCAGGGCTAAACCTCCCAAAGTGCTGGGAATTACAGGTGTGTCCACACACGGCTTGTTGAAGTATCTCACAGAAATCCCGGATTCCATTTATGGCACTGCTTTGAACACTTTGGTAACTACAAACACATCATACATAAAAGTAGCAACAGTCCTTTGGTTTCATCTGCTGTCCAATACTGAAGTATGTTTCTCTGAGTATCTCAAAAATGCCATTGTTCAGCTGGGTAGTTAGAATTAGGATGAAATACAAGTTACATCCTGTTTTTAACAAGCACTTCAGACGTGTTCGATGTCTCCTAGTTTGGGAACAAATGATTTTGCCAACTTTAATGTTGAATTTAAGATGCCACAAATCCTGGCACAGTTGGTAAATTATAAATGTGATTTTTGAGATTAGAGGAACTCGTTTGGGTTATTGACAAAATACGAATTCATATTAGTAAACTGTCAGATTTGGTTTTCTCACTGAGTGCAGGCTCGGCTGCAGTGTGATGACGGGGACGGTGAAGAGTCTGGTTGGGTCCAGTCAGCTGGCCCGTGCTGCGGCCTCGCTCGGATTGTGGCTTTTGTACTGTCCCACAGTCAGCCGTGCGGGTCAGTCAGGTCTCTTCGTCTGGTCCCTTCACACCCGGCGTAAGAGAGCTGTCTGCTTTTTTACCTAAAATTAATCATATCTCAGAGTGTCGATAGCAGTTTGAAAATGAATTTTCTGAATTTTATTTTCAGACAAAGTAATTTTTTCTCTGAGAATTCTCATGAAATGCAGTTCTCAGAGTTCATGAGATTAAAGCGTAGACAGAAAACTTGGAGAACATAGATGTTTTTTAGTATAAGTACTTTTTCATAAAACAGTATATCTATGCAGTTTGTATAAATTATATATTTTTTGAGTATCTGTGTTAGAACAATTCGGACCTCAGAATTATCTCTGGGCTACAGTATTACCAAAGTGGAACGACTTTAAGATGTAGTCATACTTTGTATTTGTAGTCATCCTAAATGAACTTGGAAAATCTCTAGAACATGTATTTTGTGATTCATATTTTAAGAACACACACTTTGTCCTCTTGAAGCGTAATTCTTGCTGTATAAGGTAACCACGCTATCTCTGGACATTTCAGAGCCTGAGGTGACGTTACTGCTCCCACGCTGCTCTCTCATCTTGCCTCAGTCAGATGGCGTTGTAAGGGGTGAGAAGACCAGATTGTGAACTCACTCTGGCTAGGGACCTCAGCGCTGTTGTTTAACCTTCTTTGTGCCTTAGAAATCATACAATCAGTCTGCCCTTCAAACCTCACGGGAAGCTGAGAGTCAGAAGTGATGAGACATTTGAAAGTATTGTGCATGGCTTCTGAAGCCATCCCAATCTTACTGGGGGTTCATCGCCGTAGGCTGAATGTTTGCTGGCATACATCTGCAGAATGAATTTGCTTATATTGTGAAAGAAAGAATGGTTAAGGAAGAGAAAGTAGAGAAGAAAAGAATGATGTGAATGAATAATCAAAAAGAAAGGGAAAGAGGAAGTGAGAAAGAGGGAAGAGAAGAGAATGAAAGTGAGGATTCAAAAGACAGAGTAAGAGAGCAGATGGACTGAAAGTGGGAGAAGTGAGAAGTGGAGGTGGACGGGAAGGCTGCGGAAACAGTTTCTTTCGGAGTTAGAGCCCCTGTGCTAGGTCACTGCCTGCTGTCCCGAGTCCTCCAGGGTCCAGAAAGGTGCTGGCTTCTGTGGAAGCGGGCAGCAGGGGCAGCTCTGTTTTGATTTATTGGTACTACAGACATTTCTTGGTCATGCTACTTTTTGTAGGAATAATGATTTAACATTTAACTGGATTTCAGTTTGTGAGCTAAGACCTATGGAAACAGATGTCTTCCATTTCAGCTTTGTTCTTTATCCAAACTAATGTTGGACTTAGACTAACCACGTGTTCATCAGGCAGGGAAGAGAGGAAGGGAGGGGCTGCTTTGTTAGGTCTGAAGGGGGCCCGGGAAGCTCTTGTAGCGATTTTCCCACAGGATGCTCATCCATAGGAAATGAGGCCTGAGAATCACTGCCCTGCCCTGAGGGTGGGCTGAGCCTTAGATCACACCTCCTCCTCGGGAGGGTGTGTTCAGTTAACTGTTACAGATGGATTCGAGAAAGCAGGAATGATAGACACATAACAGGGGAAAAGCTTAGGAGACAGCCATTGCCTTTTTCAGATACGTTCTTTGTAAATGCAGTAGTTGCAATCAGAATCTCACATGTGTTTAGAAAGACCACTGATCTTTGTTTTAGTATAACTTTCTTGGTTCCTTAGAGTAAATACAGAGGAATTGTAGCTTGCAGTATGTCAGGTGTGAGGCCAATTATCCATTTCTTAAATGCAATTTCAGATGTCTTTAATTGCCTTACTACATTTTAATGTTTAATAAAAGATTTTTACTGTAGTAGTTATACTTTATACATTGCCAAAGCAACCCCTTTTTGCCCATTAAAATCTGGCTAAATGGTTTTGATGTTTGTTGTTTCTTAACTCATTGAACAGAAAACTGGATTTCAAAAACTAATATAAACCTAATAGAGAAGTCTAAAAGGGGTGTAAGAATTAAGAAAAAACTAAAAATGAACATGGTGTTATTCAGATGTCCAGCAACAGCAGAATGGTGTATTAGTCTGAACAATGTTAAACTGATTGCAAATCAGTTTTAGACTTACTGTGGAAAGTTTGGTTGTCACTTGGTCTCTACCAATAATTCCAAATGCCTGATGGGATTATTTCCTTAGATTTTTTTCAAATATAAGAGAGTTTTTGCCAGTAATTTTTCTCACCACTAACATTATGAATGGCATTTGGAAGATCTGTGGTCAGCCACTCTAATAGCAAATTTGAGACTGGTATGGAGACTTTGATTATGTATAGATGGAGTTGGAATATGTGAACACATGTGTAGAGTATGATTGCGGCCCTTTTTAAAAATTGGTGAAGAGATGCAACAGCATATATTTTATTTAAAAAGTAACTGACTCTGTCAGTGGGGGGCAATACCTATTTTCAGCCTCTGTATAGTCTCTTCAGGGAATAGTGGAGTGTTATCTTTTTGTGCAGAAATGATCCAGGGTTTGTAGTATTGTTTAGAATATGTCATCCATTGCAAATCCAGTAAACATGCACGTTCCGCATGCATTATCGTCAGTGTTTGAGAGCTGGACTAGTTTTTGGATGCTGTAACACAAGACCTGTGAAGGAGATGGTGGAAATCAGAAACTGCCTCTCTTCCTGAAATCAGAAACTGGAAAAAGGTAGCAGCTGTTTCACTTTTTCCAAGTATTTTGCATAAATATGCTAACATTTTAAGTAGCAATAGTTTTAAAAGCTGGAGGAATGTATCATGATATACTGTGATATTTAGAAATTACTGTACTTAAACTACTTTTATTTTAAAACATTTTGGCTTTAGAATAATGTGAATATCTTTCTCCAAATATTTTGTGTATTGAAAGTTATTAAAAGGGAGCATAAAATAATAGATTTGAGTCTAAACTGGGAATTTGGGAAATTGGTTTTTTCTTTTTTGGAGGAATTCAACTCATCTTTTTATTGAGAAACTGTGTTGTTACTAAATAAACATGTACTCAATAAATGTTTAGTTTTCTCAAATGATATGTCTGATTTATTTTTGCAGTCAAAAACAATTTCAGGGGCTCAATCCCCTGCAGCAACAAAACAAAAAACAAAGTTTTAATAGTTTTTAAATTGGAATGGTTGGTAATAAGGTGATCCAAGCAGAAGCCATTTCCTGGATTAGCTAATTCAGTGACTGAATCAAGAACCTCCATACCAGCCAGGTGTGGTGGCACATGCCCGTAACCTAAGCACTTAGGAGGGTGAGACAGGAGAATTGCTGTCAGTTCAAGGCCAGCCTGGACCACATAGGGAGACCCTGTCTCAAAAAAAAAAAAAAAACCAAACCCCAAACCTCCTGTTTCTCCATTACCATTCTTCCCATGTGAGCTGTCCTATCATGGCTCAAGTGTGACAGCAGACATCCTAGGTGCCAGATAACCTAAGGTTAAATATGCCTTTTTAGATGATGTCTTATTTTCTCTTGTTGCTGAGACAAAATACCTAATGCCTCAAATTACGGAAGGAAAGGTTTATTTAGCTCACAGTTGGTAGAGGTTTCTGTCCATAATCAGTTGGCTCCAAAGCAGGGTGGCATGACACAAGGGCAACAGTTCATGGTGGCAGAAGACAGCAAAAGCAACAAGAGCAAATAGGGATGGAACAAACGTCTTCCTCTCTTCTGTTGTAAGCAGGCTGTCCACCCTAGGGTGGGTATAGCACTCTGTGCCCTCTTGCACAGGCTGAGGATGTTTACAAAGTGAGGACCCTGGCCCCTACTAAGTTGCTTAAAGTTGTGAACTCAGATTGACACAATGAATCAATCATTATAACATCCTAGGGTGTAAACAGCCACCCTAGGGCATGTACTATATACCCTAGGATATAGAACTGCTGAGTCAGTTAAGCTTCTAAACTCAAGCTGACACAATGGTGTCAGCCATTACAGTCCACCCCTTGTCAACTTGGCAATGAGACACATTTCTTTCAGCTGGTTTCTAGATACAAAGACATGCTTATTATCATTTTCCAACTTGAACATTATAACACAGGTTTGACAATCCTTAAGAACCAATATTAAGTCTGTCAACGTTATATTAGAACATTCTCTCTCTGGCCCCCCAAAGACTCATGCATATCCTTTTATGCAAGAGGCAGTTAGTCCATCACTAAGAGTTGCCCAGATCCAAACACTTGCAGCATTGCTGAAAAGTCCCAAGTCCCAAGTCTCTGAGATTTAAGGCAAACTCCTAGCTGTGAACTA